CAGAGCAGAAGACACAAGCCTGAAGATGATGAATGAGACTTCATCAAAACGTTGCCTAGATACTTCCAATCTTACGCGGGAGAAAACCCGAATAACCAAAGATCCATACACACACACACACACACACACACAAAATCCTATTGTCAGTATCTTATCTAGCCTATGCATTGCCAAAATAACTAATCAGACTTTGTGAAAATATACAGCAATTTGAACAAACCCAACTTTATATCCCAATTTCTTTGAAGTGGTCCACTGCAGTCCAGGATCCAAGACTCTCTTCAATGTTTATCTAATTATTCACTGAAGTATGGCCTATATAGCAACCTCTAGACAAAAATGTCATTAAGTGACATTGTGGGGGAGAGGAGAGATTGATTTCTTACTCTGTACCTTCAGTGAAACAAACAGATTGTCGCGACTACGCAACACACGCATTTGAATCGAAGCCACAGCGACCTGAAGGATGGCATTCCTCTTCATCAGAATAAACTCTGTATCATCATAATAATATGCACAGTCTATGTAAAATGCTGTGAGGTGAAGCTATATGCATTAACCACGATTCAAGTGATTGAGTTCATACGAATAATTATCATTAATAATGGTAATCATGGGTAATAAGGGTAATCATGGGTAATGAAAGGGTAATGAGGGGAAATTACTATAAATATTGAATCCCAGGAAACTCGGGTTAGATCCAACTTTATTTTATTGGCTTAGCTATTATCTTGGACCTTGTGGAGGAAGGAATAAACAATAAGCTTTTGTGTTACCAAATACTGAAGCAAAGAGTGTTTTATTTTCTCCCTGCATTTGTGCCAAAGAGTAGCTGAGACAGATCTTGCTGCAAGATGTAAAGTGTAAATGTGTGGCTGCTAGGTGGATGGACAACCATAATTTTATTTGAATTATTTTTATTTATCAGATTTATATGGCTGTCCAGCTATCCAATGAAACTCTGGGCTATGGAAAACAAAACACAGTCAAACCAAAACAGAGACTTCAGAATTAAAAATCTCAAAATACATACATCATAACCAAACCACATACTAACATCTTGGCCCCCAAACCTAGGGGAAGAGACAGTTCTCCGCAGCCTTCTGAAAGTAAGGTTGGGGACATCCTTATCTTGGAGATGGCATGGGATGTGAAGATACCAAGACAGAAAAAGCATACTTCTTAACCAGGTAACACTGCTTGTCCACACAATTATGTCTACCAGATAACAACCATAGAGTGTGCATATCATTGGGGATTAGTATCTGTTTAATAGCTGTACACTATATGGAACTGTGGTACTTCCATCTCTGATCACCAGCACTAAATGATAAGAGATAGAAACTCCATTCCTTAATAATTGCTATGCTATAATTATGAATATTGTCACTAGGAACACCTTCATAGCTACCCACAAAGAATGGAAGAAACCTGGGTCATTAGTTATGATTGAACTACACCTCTTACGAGACTCAATCATATAATCCACGATGAAGAATGTTGGAAGTTATATTCAGCAATATCTGAAAAGAGATCCTCCCTCCCGGCAGGAAATAATTTTCAAAAATATCTCTAAAAGCCCAACCATGATGATGTAGTTCACAATGTAGGCCCTCAGCTCCCACAGCTTGCCCAAGAAAAGCCTTTGTTTCTTCTGGATTTTTAGTGTGATAAATAGCATGAGTACAAACAACTGCCCCTTTGCCACTCTTATCACCACTGTGTAGCTTTGAACATACTTTTAAAAAGAAGCAAATATGAGATATCTATTATGATATATTTCCTATCACAATTGAGCTTTTTGACAGTACAACTTCCTCTCATGCTAGCTGTATGCAATATTAAAAGTATAATATATCATTACCATTTGTCAAAGTACCAGTAGTAATAAGTCTCATAGATTCTTGCTTTTTCGATGTATTTATATCTTCTCTGAATGACTTGGAATTAAAGGAAAGAGATGAAGGGGCTAGCAGGCTGTCCTCTTTCTCAATACCAAATGAAGATTGACACACCATTCCCATCTTAGCGAGAAACTTGGCAGTACAGCTATCATTTTTGACATAGTCCAAAGGAAAAGAAACATTCTACAGTTATTCACACCCCAACAAACTACCCTGCTAGCTATAATGTTGACATAGATGGAAAGCTGCACACCAAAAATGACAGTGCATAAAAATTTGAGTCTCCAGTGAAGCCATAGAAAAGAAAGAGAAATCATTTTGATTACCTTAGATACCCTGTTGGCAACTTCTCTGCCCACGGTCAGTCCCTGAACAAATGTCCTTGCCGCGATGAAAGCTCTCGTCACCTGAACCTTGAGTTTCCTGGGTACGTCTCCGAAAGGCTTAAGCTGGTCTGTGTATTTGCTTACACACTCTAGATAGTCCTCAGAGAAATGATAGTGGGGGTTTATGAGCTGGAACATTCGCTCTAATAGACGGGCCCAGAAGTCATTCAACATCTCCTCCAAGTTCACATTGCCTCCCGTGTAATATCGTTTCAGTTCTATAAAGAGGTCCTGGAATACTTCTGAATTCTGCATGTACAGCATGCCATATGTTCGTACGAACATATCATTTAAGGACCTTTCTGCATTCTCCAGGAGCTCTCGGAAAAATTCTACACAAAGAAAGAAAGGGGGGGGGGGGAAGCATATGGATGAGGAAATAATGTAACAACAAGCAATAACAAGAGTAGTAAGAACAGAAAATGGCAACCTAGGTGGTGAGTGGGAAAAGGGGAACACGTGGAGATTTTTCAACTTAACTTGGAACAAAAGGAGAACAGAGGGATACATGAAAGAGATCTATGATATGAACTTTAAAAATGGAGAAGCTTTTTTAACTCCAGTAATATTAGAATCCAGATTATGATACATTTAAACTAATAATGATTATGATAATAATATTTAGGCCAATTAAAGGAACTAATACTTCATATAAAACACAATTAAACTATGGAATAGACTCAAGACTAGAATCTTAAGAGGCACTAATGATAATTAAGAATTCAATAAATTCAGGAACATATGGCCACAAACAGCTATAAAAGGCCTCTAATATCAAAAATACTGTAATTTTTAGCTGTTGTATATTTTTTTATTTATTTATTTATTTGTCAAAAGCTTATAATATAACAGAAACAAGAATAAAGATAAGTTTAAATACAAGAAATAGGAACTAATAATTGGGGACAATAGGACAGGGACGGTAGGCACGATTGTGCGCTTATGCACGCATAATTTATCCAAGCTTGACACAGCTCACATGATAAATGTTATTAATCAAAACAAATCCCCAATGCAAACAATAAAATATTGCAAATATAAACAAAGAGTGCCATCAGGGATTAAACAAAAGCTAAAATAATTGCCTAACTGGATAAAATCATTGACCTTAAAAACCTAAACTTTTCTAAAGATTTTAATCCTTAAAGATCAAAGTAAAGGGAAAACTGGATTAAATGGATTAGACTTATGTTCTTCATATGAATACCAAAACCACTGTCTCAACAATAAATACAGTTATTGCATCACTTCTGGCTTTAATGGATTGCTAATGAGAAAGACATATAGTATAGTATAGTAATTATATTTACCTTTTTTTAAAAAATCTGATAACCCTACAATACTTAGCTTTGCTCCTATAGGGGAAGTTAAATAGCAGTATATGCTGCAAAAGAGCCTTAGATTTGAATTGCAAAACATTTCCTTAGAAACCATATTAAAATAGAAAGGGTTGGATTCCTCATGAGAGAGCAAAATCAAATACCCAGAGCTTTAAATATGCTAAATATGTTTTAAGGAAGCTGTTATAAAAGTTTCATTTATATTTCAAAGACTGATTCAGTCGTTAAGCACTGAAAGTAGAGTAAGTCTACTCCTTAGGTACTGAATTCTTGGCATTTTGAATACTAAATAAGTATTCAATTGAGTACTAAATATAAGAGCTGTGGTGGCACAGTGGTTAGAATGTAGTACTGCAGGCTAACTCACTGCCGAATGCCAGCAGTTTGATTCTCACTTCCTGAAGGTTGACTCAAGACTTCCAACTATTCACACAACTTATATATTGGGTCACAGTTAGCTCCTGAAGATCTAGTTTTCTGAAGAGCAAAAGTAATTTCTCTTTGGACTTTACTCAATCTCATCAAAACTATAACTCTATGGAACTTCCTCTAATAATCATACTTTTAAATATAAAATTTACAGAAGAATATTTTTAGCACAAATCTATACAAAGCCCTTTTAAATGTACCTTTAGTTTAGTGTAGGGTTTTAAGTTTAAATTCCTCCAATAACTAACCTAATATACATTTTAAAAAACCCAAAAGGTTTTGAAATTTTGGGCTTGGACAATCTGGAACTGCGCCGCCTGAGGTCTGATCTAAGCATAGTTCACAAAATTGTCTGCTACAACATTTTGCGTGCCAACAACTTCTTCAGCTTCAACCACAATAATACACGGGCAATCAATACAAACTTAAGGCAAACCACTCCAATATGACTTCAGCAACAGAGTGGTCAATGCCTGGAATGCCCTACCTGATTCCGTTGTTACAGTCTCAAACCCTCACAGCTTCAACCTCAAACTGTCTACCGTGGACTTCACCCCATTCCTAAGAGGTCCGTAAAAAAGGTGTGCATCAGTGGTGGGATTCAAAAAAATATATATTACTATTTACTACTTCTTGTTAATACAAATAGTCCTTGCTTAACAACTGGCTCATTCAGTGAACTAAATCTTGAGAAAAAAATGGCATCTTTTAATGCAATGTTAACTTGTAGCCCATCTTCATCATCTTGCCTCAAAATCTGTAAAATATTAAGTGCAAACTAATTGCAGACTTGTTTCTATATTAGTAAAAAAGAAGAAGAAGAAGCAGAAAATCAACAGAATGTAGTAATTTTATTGTCCCCTACATGGCCATAAATGTTAAGTGCTGCTGTTTTTATCAAGCATATAATTAAGTGTGTGTTCCCATTAAGCAATATAATATTAAGCTTCATTATGAAATTACACTGTTCAGTTAGTTTAGTATCTAAAATACAGTTGTCACTTTTAGTGTGATACAGGTATAATTTCATTAGGCACCTGTTACTTTCCTAGACAGCTAAATAGTACTTAATTCATATTTGCTTTTTAACTAGCAAGTTAAGCTGCATTTTAATTAGTAGAAACTTTCCACCCCAGAGTTAACCATGGTGATAATGTCAAATTAATTAATATTATGTTATGCTGAGACCTTGTTCTAGATCAATAAAACAGAATAATGGAATATCGGGTCAGGGATTACATTTCTGAATATTCATTCATTATAAAAACAAAAAAACAAAAATGGGCACACAGGAAGTAGAATAAGGTAGATTCGTTTTACAGATATTAGGAGAAAAAGGTATGCTTAAAAACCTGTAGTTGGAAAGCAGTGTGTAGTTAAAAGCATACATCTTTTATTCAGCTATTCTTCCCCAAGCCCTTGTTTACTTTAAACATGTGAAAGTAACACATCACACAAACCATCTCATTTACATAGACCAATGTCTATTTAAGAGAATGCAAATTAAATGCAAACATTTGCCAAATTTGACAGATGAAAACAGTAACACTATTCGTGAATACCCTGTTCCCAAATATGACTCAGTCACTAAGTACTCTGCTAAGCTTTTTTTTTTTTTTGGACTTAACGCATGCTAAAGAATACGTCTTCATCAATGATTTTCCTATCTATTTTCGAATTGATTTGCTTGTTTTTCAAGCTATCTTATGCCATAAACCATCTAGACAATGGAGAGAAGGACCTGTACATTGACTACCATGCTGACTGTATCAAAAGTAAGCCACGCAACCCAATACTCAGCTTTTACCCTCAACCACAACCCTACCTCAACCCATCCACCATCACCCAAGACTAGGCACGCACGCCCCCAACTACCTCAATTCCAACTACTGCCGGCCTTAAATGCAAACTACTCAATGCAAGAAGCCTCGTGAATAAAATACCTGAATTTCTCTTCCTCCTAAATATGGCTAACTTCGACATTATATTTGTCTGTGAAACATGGCTCAATGCATCTCTCCCCGACTCCATTACCACAGTAAGAGACTATCATGTTTACCGATCAGATCGTGAAAATCGTCGAGGAGGTGGTGTTGCTATATTCTATAAAAAATCCTTACATCTAAAAAATATCCAAGTTACCCAGGAGCTTGCCCTTCCTGAAACCATCATCTGTGAACTATCCTTAAATATCACAATTCGATTCTTACTATGTTACAGAGCACCTGATTATGACATCGAACATGTAAACAAGCTAAATACATTACTAACATGGGCTGCATCCTGCCCATACCCTTTTATCCTTCTTGGTGATTTCAATCTACCTCATATTGACTGGACCCTAAATGATTGTACAACTGAAATCATACACACAACCTTCTACAATGCTATTACAAATCTGGGACTGGAACAACTAGTAACCAACAACACTAGACTAAACAACTGCCTCGATCTCATCTTCTGCAACAGTTTGAATTTAATTTACGGAATAGAAACTAAAGAACCCTTTTCCAGTAGTGACCACAATATGATTGACTTTTGTCTCAACATACGTCCACACAAAAATCACCACAATGATGTAATCCCCAATTGTAACTTCAAACAAGGCAACTATGATCTTATAGACAACGATCTCTCATCCCTTGATTGGCAATCTCTATTCACTGGATGCAATACCGTTGAAGACCATTACAACATATTTTTACTTGAAGTCAAAAGAGTCATCAAACTATATGTACCAACAACAACTCCCAAAACAAAACAAAAAAGCAGATTACCCATATCAATAAGGAAACTTCAATCCAAAAAGAGATCACTCTGGCGGAAAAACAAATCTGGTCACGTTGCCAATTTCAAAAACCGATACAAAAATTTATGCCACCAGATAAAGACCGAATGCACCAATTATCACATTAAACAAGAGGAAAACCTTCTAAGCACCAATTCCACCCGTGCCTTTTACAATTTTGTAAACAACAAACTAAAAGACTCAAGGTCCATCCCTCCCTTGATAGGACCTGATGGTAAAGACTGCAACGATGACACCATTAAAGCCAACATCTTTAACACATTCTTCGGCTCAGTATTTGTAAACAGCAATGGATCATGCCCAGTATTTCCTAGCCATACCACAGATAACAACAATGATCTAATACATATCGATTTCACAGAAGACAATGTTGAAAAATCACTACGCAATCTAAAACCATCTCTATCTATTGGACCGGATGGAATATGTGCCTACTTCTTAAGAAAGCTATCCACTGCCATAGCCAAACCTCTAAGCATAATCTTTGAAAAATCTTTCAGGACCAGCTCCTTGCCTAACCTATGGTCACAAGCCACAGTCATCCCCATCTTCAAAAAGGGAGACCCAAGCCTAGTTGAAAATTACAGGCCAATCTCCTTATGCTGCGTCACCTGTAAAGTCATGGAATCAATTATTAACCAATCCATCATCCTCCACTTAGAGACAAACAACCTACTCTCCAATAAACAATTTGGTTTCAGAAAAAAACTATCCTGTAATCTGCAACTCTTACACTGCAAAAACATATGGACGA